GCTTTTGCTAAGAAGACAAAATGCGAAGCATACCTTGGGCTCATGGAACGAGGTATTTGAAAATTCAGATGCTGTCTTGAAAGAGACCGAACAAGTCATAGCGGATTTCAGATGAGAGGCAGAATTCCGCAAAGAGCAAAATGAGGAAGTTGATCCGACATTTAATGTAGGCTGTGTGGGAGAGGGTAAGGATGGACAAAATCCAGGTCCCAGAGAAGATTTCACCTCGGAATATGAGCGAGATAGGTTGCTTCTACGCGGACTGTTTCTTATCGAGATGCGAGGTCGTTTTGAAGAAGGATTCTTAACCTCATCAATAAATGGTTCCGTCGGCGGAAACGATTGGTTGTGGTCTATCTTTCGCTTAGTGGCGGATAAATTGAATTGACATTTAGATAAGGGACGGTGAACTGGTGTAGAGACGTGGTTAGGTGCAGAGGTGGCGAAGTTGGCATCAAAGATTAACGGCTCAAAACCAGATCCGGGAGCATGCATTGAGGAAGCCTGAAGTCTCCTGAACAAGTTGGCCGAGTGATGTGGCTTAGATGAAATCCTTTTGGGACGGGGCCTAGCGGCTTGATGTAGAGATAGGCGAAGTAAACGAGCTGAGAAAAGACAAGTAGCATTCGAAACAGAGGGAGTGTAGGCTTGTCGGGCGTCGAAAGAAGAGCCGAATTTCGCTGAAAATCTGACAAAAAAGATGAACAGCTAATCTTTTAAGGGGCTATAAAAGGATCGATTATGAGGGTGGACGAGACGGGTTATGGAAGGAGGAGCACAAATGAATAATTGGAGAGTAGAGATATGGGAAGCAACTGTAAAAGAATAGAGATAAGTAAAGAAAGCGTTAAGGGACCTTTGAAGAGCTGTGGTAGCGAATTAATTTATAAAATGTGCACTGCATTAAGTATCACAGTAATTTTAAGCAAACAAGTTCAAAAAGTTAATTGTTCGGATTCCTAGAAAGCTCAATTCCATCTGATTGCTAGACAGATTTTATCAAATGAATGAGAATTGTATTCACCCTACTTGGCTTATCGTGATAAAGGACTAGTGGTTTAATTGT